TGAGCAGCCCCATCTCAAGAGCTGAGAGTCTAGAATGAATAAAAAAGGAAAAAGGGAAAGTGAGATAAGTACCAGCCTTCATATCTCTGATTCTTGACTACAAAAGTAATGTGACTAGCCTCCTGCTGTGCATCCTCAGTATGGTGGACTATATGACCCAAACCAGAACTAAAATAAATCTTTCTTGTCTTGAAAGTTGCTTTTTCTTTGCCCTCTCAAGAGCAAGAAAGTAGGATGGGAGGAAAAAGAAAGAAGAGAGAGAAGAGAAAGATAAAAGATAGAGTGGAGAGAGAGGAAGTAAGACAGAGGAGAGGGTTAAGAGAAAGATGAGAGACACAGAAGAGAAGGAGAAAGTGTTGACAGAAGTTTCTGTCCTGCCCCATTCTGCAGCCATTCAGTTCCAAAGAAACACACAGAGGTCTACATTAATTAAAAACTACTTGGCCTATTAGGTCAGACTTCTTATTAACTCTTACATCTTAAATTAAACCATAATTTTTGTCTGTGTTAGCCACGTGGCTTGGTTCCTTTTATTATTGAGGCATTCTCATCTTGCTTCCTCTGCATCTGGGTGATGACTGCAGACTGAGCCTTTTCTCTTCCCAGAATTCTCCTGTTCTGGTTGCCCTGCCTATACTTCCTGCCTAAATACTGGCCAATCAGTATTTTATTAAACCAATATAGGTGACAAATCTTTACAGGGTACAAGACTATTGTCCCACAGCAATAAATGAGAGTAATTGGACAAAAAAAGACAAGAGAAAGGGTAAGAGGAGCATAAGGAGAGTTAGGGAGAGGAGAGAACATGAATATATAGAGGAGAGAGATAGAGATAGAGAATAAATGGAAAAGAGAGAGATGATGGGAAGATACAGAAGAGAGGGAGAGGACAGAAGAATGGGAGGGAGGAGATGAGAGAGTAAGAACGATAATTACTTGAGAGGGGAAGATATAGATGGTAGAGAGATTATAGAGAAAGAGAAGAGAGGATGGAAAGAGAAGAGGAAGAAAGAGAGGACAAAGGATGGAAAGAGTGTATACAGAAAAAGAGGAGAGAGAGGAAGGGAGGGTGGAAAAAGGGAGAGAGATAAAAGAGAGAGAAAGAGGGAAGTGAATAGGCAGAAAGAGACTAGAAGGGAGTAAAATGGGAGGTGGAGAGGAGGCAGAAATTTTTATTTTATTATATTATTATTACAAATTTTCACCTCCTCCCCTCTTCCCATTACCCTCCCCCCTTCCCTCATCTTCTTCCCCTCCTTCTCTAGTCCAAAGGACAGTCAGGGTTTTCTGCCCTGTGGTAAGTCCAATGACCTCCTCCCTTTATCCAGGTCTAGGAAGGTGAGGATCCAAACAGACTAGGTTCTCAAAGCCAGTACATGGAATAGAATCAAAACCCAATGCCATTGTCCTTGGCTTCTCAGTCAGCACTCATTGTCAGCCACGTTCAGAGAGTCTGGTTTGATCACATGCTCCATCTGTCTCAGCTGGCCTTGGTGAGTTCCCATTAGATCAGCTCCACCGTCACAGTGGGTGGGCACACCCCTCTCGGTCCTGACTTTCTTGCTCATGTTCTCTGTCCTTCTGCTCCTCATTTGGACCTTGGGAGCTCAGTCCAGTGCTCCAATGTGTGTCTCTGTCTCTATCTCCATCCATCGCCAGATGAAGGTTCTATGGTGATATGCAAGATATTCGTCAGTATGGCTATAGGATAGGGCCATTTCAGATTTTGCCAAGACAAGGTAAGACAGTTTTGAAAATTTTCTTGCCTCTGAAAATGGTCTGTCAGTTACTCTAGGCCTTAGCCAAAGCTGGTTACTCTAACACTGAAAACAAGTCTTTATGTGATTTCCCAGGTATCCAGTTGTCTCTGTCAGTTGTTGCACATTTTGAAAGATTACACTTCCTGCTTACTCAATTAATATTATTTCCCTTCTCAGATCTTTGATGGGTTGAAGACTAGATAGTTTTAGTTACTTTCCTCTCTTGACTTGGCCATGTTTTTTATTAGACAAAACTTAAACTCTTTAGGATAAAGTAACCATTGAAACATTTTACACATGTTTCTTACTTAATATATTTGTTCTTATTGTATATAATTTTGTATTAGGCTTAGAACTCCCTTATTTAAAACAAAAGGGGGAGATGCTGTAGGAATTCCTACAGCCAGTACCCTTTAAGTTCTCCTTCCACTTGGGTGTGGCCTTTTATACTATGTATGCTGATGTAAAGAATGCACCCAGCCTCTTTTCAGGCTACGGGACTCAGTGGCTGTTCCTCGTTCCAACAAAGGATTGTGATCTGTGAGTCGACTTTTCAATAAATAACCCTCTGTTATTCTCAATTCTGAGCTAGTATGGAATTTCTTTTAAGCGTCCTTCTTCATGAGTTTGCCTTGAGTCGACTTATTTAAAAAATTCCATCATTAAATCCAAAATATACAGGTCTAGTTATTGCTTACAAATGTCTCTCAGATTTGACAATTAATTACTTGGGCACAGTTTGCTTTATACACTAAGGAAATATAAGCAACAGAAAAGCCTCAGGCAGTAAAATCCCTGGTACTTAACTTTGGACCTTGTAAACTTCACAGTGGCTAGAGGTAGGAATCACTTTTCCAGTCTCCCTTCATTTCCTGTGTCTAGTTGCTCTCTTGACAGCAGCTGGGCAGAGCCTTTTCAGAGAACTTCCTCATGGAATCTGAATGTTCATCTACCACTCTGTGTGTCACTGTGTCATAGTGTACTGTCAGTTTTGATTCACTGCTCCTATCTCATAATGATTTAACCAAGGAAGTAAACAAAAGAGCTGCATAGCCACTTCCCCATCACCGTGAAGTTCGTATCTTTGAACTTTCCACTCATTTGCTGGAAAACTTCTGTTTGATTGGTACTCTGGATGTGTCTTAATCATCTATGCTAGGACATGAAGATGAGAAAGTGCTTATTCACACTAGCAATCTACTATTGGTATCTTCAAATAAATGGAAATACTCATTGTATCTGCTTGGGTTTACTGCTAAAATTACTACTTTCACATTAAAACTGCATTTCAGGAATTCCCTTCCTATTTACACATATTTTAAAAGGAGATATGGTAAGAATTCAGATCCCAGATGCTCTTTAAAATAGTGATGTAATTGTTGTTTTAGGTTGAGAGGAACTGTCATCGTCCTGGTGTCATTCACTCAAGTGTCCTGAGTGAAGCGTTCTACAGGTTGTCATGTGAGAAGGCAGAATTGTCTTCTAAGCCTCAATGACCAAAGAGGGGCAGAGGTACAGCTGGCAGAAACGGGGTGAAGAGACAGAGAAACCAACATTCTTCTTAATCTGCCAAAAGCTGCTGTGTGATACTCCCGATGTGGAGGGTTCCATGTATCCTTAAGAAGCTGCTTTAATCCTGGGTGTTTGTTCACACTCATGTTCAGAGTGCAGCACTGTCTATCCATTCACAGTTATTTTTCTAAAACTTTCTTGGGCTCCAGGACAAGGGAACTGAAGACAGAATAGACTCGACTACTTCTGGTGACAAATATGTCTGGATGGCCATGGTAAAGACACAGGTATGTGATGTGTGGCATTCAAATATATGTGCTGTAAGAACATGCAAACTTTTCTGCATCTTTGTAGACTGAAACACACCTGAAGAGGGTAAGGCTGATAACTAAGTCAGTATAATGTCTCTAGTTACTGCTCAAGAGTGAAAAAATGAAAATATTATTTGTAATACATAACAGAGCCATGTGTTGAGTTGTAGTATTTTTTGTTATTGTACTCAAGTCTGTCATCACTAGCTACCCCTTTCTGATGAGGAGTTGTGGAAAACTGAAGAAAATGGTAGAAAAGAGCAAACTGAGAAAAAGATGCAACCAATTAAGTCTGTGAGTGTGAAAGTACCTCCATCTTTATAAGGGGTTGGATCTCCAAGTGATACACATTGCTGGGATCAAGGTGTTATATGTGTGGCTACTGTGCAGTTCCTCTCTTTGTACTGCAGTAGCACTGATACCAAAAAATCTTATTTTTGTATATCATTACAATGGTCCGGATAAATTATCCCTTTAATTTAAAGAAATGACTACTCCAAACTCACAAACACTTCACACACACAAAAAACCCACATAGTATTTTTAACCAATCAGAATTATTTTAATGAGTTAAAGATTTAATAGTCTGTCTCTGTTGTATAATCCATTACAGCAGGATATTTGTCTATTTTAATCCTCAATATATATTTGAAATCATTATTAAAAATAGAATTTATAAAATTTGAAATGTTGTATATAATTTTAAAACCTGAAAAAGAAGTCTAATCTTTGGAAGTGTTGTGCCCATGTTACTGGATCTCTGAAACAAAACCACCACAGAGCCAATTTTTAGTGCAAACACATTGGGCTTATTGATTACAAGTTAGCTAACTAGGACCGTAATCTATAACTCTAACACTGGAGGTGGGGAAGAAAGGCTCTAAGCTTCAGGTTAAGGGAATTTTAAAGTGGAAACTGCAGGCAGGGTGGCACAAGCCTTGGGATTTCAGGATTAAGAAAAAGTACATCACTTTTGAATTCATTGGTTTGGGTATAGGGGAATTTTAAAACAGTTAAATCAGTATTTAATCAGGTACCTACAAGGACATTTGAAGCAAGCAGATGTTTGAACACCCTGGTGGGTCACTTTGATCAGGGTGGGCACAGTTTCTTGGGAATGTTTATAACTTTGCTTGGCTGAACTCCTCTCCCCCCACCCCCAGTCCCCTAGTTAGGTCCTGTCTAAAATGGGTTTCTTTCTCAAAATGGAGTTTCTTCTGCTCCTTCAGCTGCATGTATGTGGTTTGACCTTGGACATCTAGGGATTGTGGGCTTTTGCCAAGTGGTTGAGATGAGCAAGCCTTGCAGCTGTGCCCAGCTCTAAGTGGTTCCCAATGATTTGCATGCACTCACTACACAGCCTTTAGGACTTCCTCATATACCAGTGTCACCCTGTGCAGCTGTCATTGCAGTCAGGACTCTGCATGGACATGAGGGCCCCTGCTCAGCTCTTTGGACTCCTTCTGCTCTGGCTTCCAGGTGCAAAAAAGCCTAAAAAGGGAATTTCTTTGTTACTCTGTGATTAGTGTTGTTTGGCATTTAGGGTCAGTCCTTTTGTATCATGATTAACTATGTGGGAATTTTATTATGTCTCCACTTGTAGGTGCCAGATGTGACATCCAGATGACCCAGTCTCCGTCCTCCCTCTCTGCATCTCTGGGAGACCGAGTCACCATCACTTGCAAAGCAAGTCAGGGCATTAGCAATTATTTAAACTGGTATCAACAGAAACCAGGGGAAGCTCCTAAGCTTCTGATTTATTATACAAATAGTTTGGCAGATGGGGTCCCATCGAGGTTCAGTGGCAGTGGGTCTGGGACAGATTATTCTCTCACCATCAGCAGCCTCAAGTCTGAAGACATTGCAACTTATTACTGTCTACAGTATGATAAGTATCCTCCCACAGTGATACAATTCATAACATAAACCTCCATGGAAGCAGAAGTGAGAAACTTGGCTGCCCCCGCTGCTCCTCCTCGTGAGTCAGTCACTGAAACTGTTTCTCAGATGTCACAGAATTTTTAGAAAAGTTCACAGTGAGTCATTTGTTTTGGTAGAAGGGGCTAAGCAGTTTTCTCTTACCCTAAACATCTTCCTTTGTCACCTCCAGCACTACTTAGTATCAATGCCCTTTTTGCTTAACAAAAAGGTCACAGTTATTCTCTGTAAGGAGTCTGAACTGTATCCCCAGCTTGGGCTCATATGGAACTGTGGAAACTACTGTGAACAGTTCAGAATACATTATATAAATATGGAAAATTAGTTTCTAGGTGACAATATTTTAAGGGGCAGAGAAATATTACTGAGAGTAGCTGACAGTAGAAAACATTCCTGGATTTCTCACAACAGCTAGAGCACAAGTGTCAGAGAGAGGGGATGCTGTCTACCATGATCCTTTGTTATGTATAGAAATTCCAAGAGGGTGTTGGTGTTTTCTGACATCTGCAGCCATTCACAAAGTACTCTAATGACTCCTATGTCCTCTGGTTTGCCTACAAAAATCAAATAATGTTGAACTACATATAAAATATTTTAAAAAATTGGTTCAAATTATGAACACAGATATATTCTCTATTCACTCATATGACCTTTAATGTATAGGAAAATTCCACTATTATTTGTGTACTTAGAATTTTTTTTTGTAATTACCTGTAAAGGTTTTATTTAAGATTCCTTTCTTTATTAATTTGTATGCTAATTCTATCTGCAAATATTTTATTTCATGTCTTTCATTGCTTAATTCTTACTACATGTGTCAGATTTAGATACAAATGCTTACAGCAGCCGGGTGGTGGTGCTGCACACCTTTAATCCTTAAATCAGGAGGCAGAGCTAGGTGGATCTTTGTGAGTTCAAGGCCAGCCTGGTCTACAAGAGCTAGTTCAAGGACAGGCTCCAAAGATACAGAGAAACCCTGTCTCAAAAAACCAAAAAAAAAAAAAAAAAACAAAAAAAAAAACAAAAACCAAAACCAACCAAACAACAACAACAAAAAACCAACAATGAAAAAAAAAATAACCAACCCCCAAAACACAAAAACACAAAACAACAAAAAAAAAATCAAATGGTTACAGCAGACATTTTGGTCCTTTTCTGTAATCTGAGGTATAAAATGACCCGTATTTTTTTTTTTTTACTAGGTATTATATTTGCCTGAACTTTGCAGACAACACATGACAGCAAGATAATGCTGTGATTGTGCTTTGCTTCCTTAGAGATTTATCCTGAATACCTATTACTTTTGTGGTGGTTTTAAAGAACATGGCCCCCAAATGCCGTGGCACTATTAAGGAGGTCTTGTGGAGGAAGTGTGACACTGTGGAGGTGGGCTTTGAGGTCTCAAATATGCTCAAGATAATGTGTCTCAGTACACTTCCTGCTGCCTTCTGATGAAGATGTATCTAATACCCTGTCTGCCTGCATGCCTCCCTACTCCTTACCATAATGATAGTGGACTGAACCTTTGAACTATAAGCAGGCCACCAATATTAACTGTTTTTTTTCATTCTATTTGCCATGGTCATGGTGTCTCATCACAGTAATAGAAACCCTTTAAGACACTACCATTGAAATGATTTTTTAAGTCACTATAGAGAATATTATATAATTCTTCTTAATTATCAGAAGGATGAACTATGTTGATACAGTGTATAATGTTAGTATGACCTTTGTATTGTGAAATACATTCAATAGATCATGAGGCACCACAGGGAAACAAGGTGATGAAGTGGAGAATTAGACATTGAAGGGGAAGAGCAGAAACATGAGGAAGAGATACTGAAGTAAAATGTATTTATTCCTTTCCTCCATATCCCTGTATTATTTTACACATCAGACAAACTATTTTGTAAAAAAAAGACATTTTTGTTAAATAAAATAACATTTCTCTATGGTGTCTGTGGTTATAATAATAACATTTGCTAATCCTCAAGGGGACCCATATTGGTCTCTGTTTATTGTCTGTGTTCCCTGTGGTCCTTATCCATAAAAACAAGAGAATTATAGTATGAGCCTTTATTCCTTCCAATGCTCCCATCTCAGTGAATTATTTCTGTCTTAATACATTAGCTATTTTCAAAGGTAGGGCAATGTGATAGCCATCAGTATAGCTATGAAGTGTACAATAGAAAAAGGTCAGTAAGCCTTGAGATAGCATAGCTATTTTTTAAGTTATTAGCCGTTAGGTTCTGGTACTTTCAGTACACAAATAATGACTAGTTAGACAGACAGACAGACAGACAGATAGACAGGCAGATAAACACACAGATAATAGAGAAAAATGTCTATCTATTCAACAATTCATTCATAAAGCAAAGCAGACCATTAATCTTTGGAAAATAACCTAATATTTTCTATCCTATTTTGCTATATGTTCTTATTAAATTTCATATTATTTTAGTACCTTGTTATGACTCCTTAAATTCATTAAGGTGACTAATGGGACTTCCAAGGGACAATAGACATTTAGAGGTTTCTGACATGTAGCACCATGAATAACTAAAGTAAGGAAAATTTATCATATCAGTGATTTATAAAAAGTCTTACTTTATGAAACATTTTGTAATAGAATTGCCCTTAGCTGATAAAATTATGATAAAACCATAAGGGGATTGTTTTAGGAAATCATACTGTGCATGCACCAGAGTGACAATATTCACTCTTCAGTAACACAGGCCATGGGGTAAACATCAGTGCATGAATAGAATAAAAATGCTAAATGAAGAGTGTATAAGATAGGAGAACAAAGTCACATGCCACTTTCTGAATGTAAAGTTTTGAGAGTACATAAATGAAAAAGTCTGAGATTGAAAGCCTGAGGATTTGTTAATTAAAGCAAAATCATGAGAATCATGACTCCCCCACAGCTCTGGATCAAAGATACTTGAAAACTACAAAAGTATACCACTAAATAAGTGTTATTAGTTTCACAGTTTCATAAAACTAGAAACTGGGGCAAAGGAGATTAATGGGACTTCAGGAGTAAGAGAGACCTTTGGAAGTTTTTGACATGTGGCACCATAAATAACTGGACAGTTACATTCAAAAGAAAAAGGGAGAAGGAACTTGGAAATTTTCAAAGATTAAAAGAAGCTAGAGAGATGATCCCCTAGTCAAGAACATCTTACTAACAAGATTTTCTCTATAATTTCTGACTATTTTAATCAAAGATAATGAAATAGATACCTTTGAAGTTATTCATGCCATGGTGATAGAGCAGACTGAATGGCAAATGACAAATATAAGAAAGGAAGATGGAAATGATCATACTTCAGAAGGGAAAGGATTATGTATATGGAAATGCAAATTAATTTATAGTTAAATTCTTTGAATCAACAAGAGAATATAAAATAATTTGACTCAAAGTTAAAAATATAACTAATTTCATGTAACTACAATAAAAAGGTGGATTATAAACTCAGAGAATTAAACATCTCATAGTCAATCTTAGAAAAATGCAAAATTTGTCTACAGTGGAAACGACAAAATAAAATTTAAAACCTTGATATCATTATAAAAACTAACAAAATAAAAGGTATTTTCTAAATTCAGTAATTGAAAATGTCAATTTTAAGAATGTAGCTTTGCAGTGGTCAGTTGATGTTTTCTTTGCTTTTCAAGATAAGTCCCTTTAAAATACTTGGCATTTCTGTCTTAATAGAGTGAGTGCCACCAAGAGTGGTTGTCTTCTAATCTTTCCTATATATGTTACCTATCCTTTTCTTTTATTTTAAAAGCAGAATGTAATTATTCTGTGTAGATTTTAGTTAAAAGAATACCAATATTCTAAAACTGATATAATATGAGGACTAATTTATAAACCTACTGAAGGCAGTAAAATGAGCATTATTGAAAACTAAGAATAAATTATTATTTTATGTGCACCAGTTTTCTACTAGCATGTGCTCCACATGACTACATAATGCCTGTGGAGGCCAGAAGAGGGTGTAAGACCTCCTGGGCCTGAAACTATAGACAGTCTTATGCTACCATGTTGATCTCAGGAGGAACATACAGTTCTTCTAATCACTGAAGCATCTCTTTAGTTCCCTAAGTGGAAAGTTTACCACGATAGAAAAGAGAAGTAAGGTTTCCAGTTTTCAGGATAGGCTATTTGCTTTTATTGTAGTTACCTAGAACCCATTCAAATAATGATTCTATACATATAGCTGAGAAAATGCTTTTGTAGTATGATTGAGCATCTTTTGGGTATATTCCCAACAGTGATATTGCTGAATCTTGAGTAAGGTGATTCCCAATTTTCTGAGAAACCACCATGCTGATTTCCAAAGTGGTTGTACAAGTTTACATTCTTGCCAGAAATGGATAAGTGTTCACATTCTCTCTAGCATAAGCTATCACTAGTGTTTTTGATCTTAGACATTCTGACAGGTGTAAGATGGTTTCCATTGAGAAGTCAGGTGTAATTCTGAAAGTTACCTTTCATTTTACTTGACCTTTTTCTTTTGCAGCTCTTAATATTCTTTCTTTATTCTCTGTGTTTTGTGTTCTGATTATTATATGGTGAGGGGATTTTTTTTTGATCCAGTCTATTTAATTTTTTGTAAGCTTTTTGTATCTTTACGGGAATATCTTTCTTTAGGTTGGGAAAGTTTTCTTCTATGATTTTGTTGAATATATTTATGTGTCTTTGAGCTGGAGCTTTCCCTCTTCTACCGCTATTATTCTTAGGTTTAGTCTTTACATAGTTTCCCAGATTTCCTGGATGTTTTATGTTAAGAATTTGTTGACTTTAATGTTTTCTTTGTCCAATGATTCTATTTCCTTTGTAGTATCATCACTGCCTGAGATTCTTTCTTCTATCTCTTGTATTTTGTTGGTTATACCTGTCTCTGTATTTTCTGTTCATTTTCTCAGATTTTCCATATCCAGAATTTCCTCTGTTTGTGCTTTCTTTGTTACCCATT